TTTTCTTTTCTATGGTGAAGGATAAGTGCATTTGTGTTATTTGTCGTGCGTCAGTTGCAATACCTAAGCGTGGTAACTTAGAGAGGCATCATAAAACGGTTCATAAAAACTATGAAAAGGATTTTCCGCCACAGAGTGAATTAAGAAAACGAAAAGTAAGTGATTTGATATCTTGTTTGAAAAAAGAACAATCCATGTTCACAAGACCAGCCAAACAATCAAAAGCTGCTACGATCGCGTCATTTAAAATATCTCATATTTTGGCGAAACACAAGAAACCATTTGAAGATGGATCGGTGGTGAAGGAAGCATTTATTGAAGCGGGTGAGACTTTATTTGGAGATTTTAAAAATTAAACAGAAATCATGTCTGCTATTAGAGAACTTCAGTTATCTCGTCCGACTGTCACAAGGCGTATTGAAGTCATGAGTCAAGACATCGCAGATAAACTAAAACATGATATCATGAAATGTACATACTTTTCTTTACAGTTCGACGAATCCATCGATATGACAGACACTGCCCAGCTGTGTATTTTTATTCGGATGGTATTCAATGACATGTTGGCTAAGGAAGAATTTTTGACAATCATTCCTCTGAAGGGGAAGACCCGTGGCGAAGATATATATGACGTTTTCTTAAGTTTTGTAAAAAACTACGAGCTACCAATATATAAATTAATGTGCATTACAACCGATGGAGCACCAGCAATGACTGGAAACAAAAACGGTTTTGTGGCATTGTGTCGAGCTAATGAAGAATTCCCTTCATTTTTTTCATTCCATTGCATTATACATCAACAAGTTTTGTGTTCAAAAGTTTTAAACACGGAGGAAATTATGGGCATTGCAACAAAAATTGTGAATTCCATCCGTGCACGTAGCTTGCAACGGCGGCTCTTTCAGTTGCAGTTGGAAGATAGGGAGTCAGCTGAACACACTGATTTAGTTCTTCACACGGACGTCAGGTGGTTGAGTCGCGGAAAATTCCTAGAAAGGTTTCAAGAATTATTGCCCGAAATAACAGCTTTTCTAGACGAAAGAGGTGATGACACTCAGATTTTGAAAAACGAAAAATGGCTAAATGATTTGGCATTTTTGACTGACATCACAATGCACTTAAACACCGTTAACTTGGAGCTTCAAGGTAAAGGAAAAACTATTATTGAGATGATTAGCGCAGTAAACGCATTCAAAAGTAAATTGCAACTTATGATAGATCAACTGAAAAGAAAGGATCTGAAACATTTTCCGTCTTTGAAAGCAAGGATTCCTCAGTTGAATTATGATACGTATGAGGCTGAATTATCAAATATTTTGGGACAATTCGAAATGCGTTTTTATGATTGCAGTAAATTGGAAAATATAGCATCATTTATGAGTTATCCTTTTTCATGTAAAAACATTGAGGAATTAGCTACTGAAATAGCAAGTCAGTTTAATATGAACTCATGTTCTGTTGAAAATGAGTTGGTGCAGATTATATCAGATATACATCTCAAAGCTACAGTATCTGATACAAATTTCTGGCGTTTTATATCTGAAGATAAATATCCGAATGTAAGGCAAATCGCCCTTCAACTGACGGCATTTTTTGGGTCAACTTACTTGTGCGAGTCTGCATTTTCTGAAATGAAGATAATTAAGTCAAAATATCGCAATCGACTAACTGACGATCATATGACATCATGCTTGCGATTAGCACTCAGTGGTTACGTACCATCTTATGAAAAGTATGCTGAGGACATGCAGTGCCACGCTTCAACATCCAAAGCCACTCCTTAGTTAAGTTTAACACCATATGTAACTCTTTTGTTTTGTAACAACAAATAAACTCGCAATTTTGAATAACTATGAGTTTTTTCATTGATATTGTAGAGAAGAACATAACTAAACCTAACCCAAACCTTGACTAAAATAATGTACCTATATTGTGCAGAAAGCTAATATCTATATATGCTACGGTACGCCCTACCTAGGTAGGTAGGGTGTATCGTGTATGTACGACAACCCTGCATCACACACACTTACAGTCTCTCAGAGTCGATCGTAAGTAGTCTAAAAATATTGAGGTAGATCGCCAGCAGTTCAAGTTTGAGCACCCCTGGTCTATTACTTGTTTGCTCTAAAATATTCGTATATTAATTGACGTATTAAAACTAATATTAGGGTTCGCAAAAAAGTATTCGATATTAGGGCACATTACTCTACTTATACTTTAGTATACTATTTAATGTTCTATTTATATTTATATTTATTCAAGATATTTAGTTACGTACTTAATTTTATCTGCACTGTCTCTTCGTCTAAAATTATAAAATGGAATAAATTATTTGATTTGGGTAATGTGATATTGATAATATAAATATGTTTATAAAGTAAATAAGATATGTTAATTTAGAGACGAATATCTGAATAGATACTACAAGTAATCTGAAGTGGAAAATAATAAAACAAAATTCAGTTTTTTTTACCGAGTATATTAGACTAAGAATCCGGTTAATAAGACATTGTTTAAATATGAAAGAATATTTATTATCTTGATTTTATCCGTTGCTGCAGCAAATTGCGTTTATCAAGAATGGGAAAAATTTAAGGTTAGTTTTATGGACTATCTATTTTATTATGATTACATAGAAATTATATACATATATATATATATATATATTTATATATATATATATATATATATATATATATATATATCTTTGCTTCTACCTCTTTGTCATTGATTGTAGCACGTATATCTGCTCTCTTTAAAATGCTGTTGCCAGGTCCTATAGCTACTCCCTTGGTCTGCTTCTTCTTCTTCTTCAAGTTCCACTCCTATCGGAGATTGGAAATTATTCTGGCAAATATAATTTTATTGGTTACTCGCCTGAATAGTTCAATTGAACTGCATCCAAACCATTCACGGAGATTGCGTAGCCACGAGATTTTACGTCTTCCTACGCTTCTTCTACCTTTGATTTTACCCTGCATTATATTCCTTAGTAGTTCGTACTTTTCACCTCTCATGATGTGCCCCAAGTATTCCAATTTCCTGATTTTTATGGAATTTAAAACTTCGCATTGTTTTCCTAGTTGTTCGAGAACTTGTTCGTTTGTTTTGCGATCCATCCATGATATTTTCAAAATACGTCGGTAACACCACATTTCGAATGCTTCTAGGTTTTTAATGTTGGATTTTTTAAGTGTCCAAGCTTCAACTCCATACAAAAGGGTAGAGAAAATATAACATCGAAGCATTCTTATCCGGAGCGATATATTGATATCGCGATTACAAAAAAGTTTTCTCATTCTATTAAAAGTTGACCGCGCAATTTCAATGCGGCATCTTATTTCTTTTGTCTGATCAGTATCTTCTGTGATCCATGCTCCAAGGTATTTGTACGAAGATATTTGTTCAATTTCTGTATTATCTAGTACTAGCTTAACTTTGATGTTTTGTGCTTTTGTAAATACCATGAACTTGGTTTTCTTCAAATTGATTTTTAGTCCATAATCGTTGCAATATATATTTAGTTGTTCAGCAAGGTGTTGCAGTTCTTCTAGTGTTCCTGCCAGAAGGACGGTGTCGTCAGCATATCTTATGTTATTAAGTGGCTCACCGTTTATTATAAGGCCCTCACTGATCTCGGCAAGCGCTAATTCTGAGATGGCTTCACTGTATAAATTGAATAACAAGGGTGATAAAATACACCCTTGGCGGACCCCACGGCGAATCTGGATATCCTGGTCAGTTCGTTTTCAACTTTCACTTTTGCTGTTTGATTCCAATAGAGGTTACAGATGATTCTAATGTCTCTACTGTCTATGTTTTTATTTAATAAAATTTCTTTAAGTCGATTATGCTGCACTCTGTCAAATGCCTTCTCAAAATCAATGAAACAGGCATATACTTCCTGATTAATATCTAAGCATCTCTGCGAAAGAACACTTAATGCAAACAGTGCATCTCGTGTTCCCAGTCCTTTCCTAAATCCCATTTGTGTATTACTTATGCCTTCATCTAATTTCTTATGTATTCTATTGTGAATTACTTTTAAAAACAATTTCAAGACATGACTCATTAAGGCTATGGTGCGATGTTCATTGCACTCCTTTGCATTGGCTTTTTTGGGAAGCAGTATGAATGTTGATTGGAGCCATTCTTTAGTATTATACTGTTCTATATATGGTATTGAATAGATCCAAAAGAAGATCAATAGATTCAGTATTCATAATTTTAAGTAATTCGGTAGGAATTTCATCAGGCCGGGAGATTTACCATCTTTAGCTTGTTTCATTGCATATTCAATTTCTTCTCGTATAATGTCAGGCCCAGTACCATCCTTAAATTCTTTTGGTGCTTCTGTTCTCTCTTTGTCTTCAAAAAGTTGTGCTATATATTGTAACAGTTATTGCTATATAACGTAGAATGTTAGTTAAACATGTAATTTGTGTTGCAATTAATTGTGGCTTAACCCCGTGTAAACATGATATTTAATTAAGAATTTCCTAGTTGGCAAACGTTAAAACATACAGTGCTTTTTGGCACTTGTAAGGGCAGCTCTTTAGGATCGAAGTATTTTATAGTGTTGTCGTGTTTTCCCCCGAACACCTGGGATCCGTATAATTATAACACTGTGTAACAAAATTGACTTATGCTTATTACGACACTAGCCTAACTACCTTAGGTCTTCTGACAGCCCATATGGGCGCCTAACTATAGAAATAGTCAGGCGCCTAACTCTCATTATTTTCAGGTGTCTTATTTCGCTTATGAATAATTATTTAGTTTTACCTATATTGATTGTTATTAATGATGCATAATACAAACAAAATATTAAACTACTAAACATAGTTAATTGCGTACTCTTTACCTCTTTACAGGCGACATTTTACAAAGTGTACCAGACGCCAGAAGAAGAAAGCCGACGGTTTGCAATATTTAAAAAAAATGTGGAGTTAGTCAAAGAACATAATGATAGATACAAAAAACATGAAACTTCGTTTAGCATGGAATTGACCAGATTTTCCGATAAGTCACATGAAGAGCTAACAAGAAGGTTTGACGAGATTAGCGTTGACAATTTCGATACAATTGAATCAACAACTTCTAGAACTTCCATTCCGCATTACTGCAATAATGAAACAAAAGTAAGTTTTTTTTATTATATACCATATTATATTATACTGGGTTTCTTTTAATCTGTATTATAGTCTTTAAAACACTTTACCGTAAATCTTATTTTCACTTTATTAGATTTGTCAAATCAGCGGTTTTTATACAATTATGTCAAAAGTAGAAGCACTATAAATATTGATACCTTCTTTTCTTACTGTTATATAAAAATTTATATAAATATTAAGATATTACCACTTCCATAGACTAATTCATAAGGTCGTGGACCTGACGTAATAATTTATTGACGTCGATCTACGGACCAAACAATAATATCAGGCATTGCTAAAAAGATGCAGTTCTCTTCACTGCGTTATCGTAGCGAGACAGAGAAAATGTATTCGTACGAATTCGTAGGAATCAGTTCTTACGAATTGAACAGGCGAGTGTGGTTACACTAGGCGAGTTCATTTTATCACTAACTACAGCGTGAAGTTTGGAGTATATATCAGAATTGTATGTTTTTGAAACATCATCATTAGTGAAATATTTGTTATTAAAAAAATAGAACAACTATTTTTTATACAGAAATAAAAAAGGAGAGTTTGTGAAGGTCATACGAAGAATTGAGAAGAACCGATGAACAATTTTTCGAATACACGAGAATGACACCATTCACATTCGACTATATATTAGAGAATATTGAGAGTCACATTTCGAAGTACTCAAATTTTCGAGAGTGCATATCCCCAAAGCATAAACTGATATTGACATTAAGCTAAGTAAAAATTAATTGTTTTAAAAACGTATATTTTTATTCACAAATTATGCAAAATCGTTTGGCAGAAAATTGATTACATCTACTACTGCAGTACAATTATTTAAAAAATTTGAAGCTGTATGGAAGTTAGACTCCTTTGGTTCCTGTGCACGCGTCAGTGGCTGTGAATACTTTATTGACATGTCACTATATACCGGTGATCGAGTTGGGATCGAAATGAATTGACCAGAAGTTGATTGATGATGACTTGCAGGTAAAGAAACGGCTTCATGTTCCTGCATAACCAACTGTAAAATTTTGGATCTAAGGTACAGCTTTCTATAAACTGGTACGGTTTGAATATATGGGATAAGACTTAGTAGAAAGTAAGTGTCATCATCCTGCTTATACCTACCCGAAATCCTGCTTAAAATGTTGCAATTTTTCTTTTTAAATATTAATTCTTCAATAGCACCATCTTTAACAATTTTTGCTTTTTTTGTGGATGATTACTTGCGTATAATTTTTTCTGCTACTCTTCTTATCATTGGAGGAGAATGGATTATTAGCAGTTTCTCTTTTTCGATTCCCTTTAGTCGTATCATTGGAGGAGTATGGAGTAATTAAAGTTTCGCTTTGTTGACTCATTTCACTTTGATTTCTTAGTTGGTAATGATCGTTAACCATCAGTGGACTTAATGTTACCTCATCATCATACGTAAAAGCTTCTTATACAGCATTTTCAATGTTGCCGCTTGTTTTTATGGGTCTAAACTGACCTTTTAAAAATGTCATATTTTGGAAATAGTGCCACTTTGACTGTGGTTTATCATCAGTACCATAACCACTCCTTTTTTGGTTGAGTTTAGTTGAGCCGGCAGGATATAGAAAGGGGTAGAGCACAACTGACCACCTTCACACTCTTAAAATATTGATAGAAAAGACCAACGAATGCAACCTTCCAATATACCTAGCGTTTGTTGACTATAAAAAAGCGTTTGACAGCATAGAACTATGGGCAGTGGAAGTAGCGCTAGTTAATTGCCGAATAGATTCACGGTATATAATGTTAATCCACAATATATCAAAACGCCACTATAATAATTCAGCTAGAGAGAGATTTGCAAACTCCATTAAGTAGAATTTGTAGAGGTGTCAGACAAGGTGACACAATTTCACCCAAACTATTTACTCTGGCGGAAGTAACTCTATCGAAAAAGGAGTACAACCGTCAATCCAATATATAATAAGGATCACTCAGACGAGTGGTGAGTTCTTATATCGGTCTTAAGGTGGAGAAATAAAAGACAAAGTTGATATGCCACTTTATCTATTTTGAAGACGTTTCGCTTTCGTATTTTGAAAGCATCATCAGTTCATCTAAAAAGTACAATATGAGAACCACACAATCATGGAGAAGATGTTATAAGTGTTACCTTAAAAAGACATTTAGCAGTCAACGATATTAACAGATTTGTGAGTAAAACTCAAGTAAATGGACATTATACGGTAATATTGTATAAAAAATCAATCTAACTAACAACATTTAGCAACTTATTAAAAAATAAGTTGTAAAGTAATATTTTATTTTATATTAAGTAGTGAAAAAGAACCAGGAAAATCATAGATTCACTTCCAACTATTTGATAATTATTTAGCTTTGATTTTAACTTTAGGTAGCATTATTAAAGTGATTTTAATAAAAAATTATTTTAAAAAGTAGTGTAAATGAAGTTACCGATCAAAGCCTCACAGCTGCCGCCGGGAAAATGGCGTTAATTGAAACAGACCGAACTAAACCGTGAAAAGACAGCCAACCTTGAGGTCAAAAATTTGACAGAACAGCAAGGTAGAAGTACCACCCCAAATAATTGGGCGGTCTATTTAAAAGTTTAAATGAGTTTGGATGACAACCCGCTTGTAAGAGACAAACCAATGAAAGAAATTGGTATTATAACAGCAATTCCTCGCATTAACCAGTCTAGAACGAACAAACAGGCGAAATTCATTCAACCTCATATATAATTAATAAACGTCAAACATTATGGCTGGATAATCCGCCACAGGTGATCAACGAAAAGATAATTTCCACAGTCCAAGGTTCATTCGCTTGGAACTGTAATTTGTAAAGGATTCTATGAATCCATTACATTATTTGTATTATAGTATTTAAGCAAAAGGTAGTTCACACTAATCTAAGTATGAGAATTAGTGTACGTATATGCAATGTAAGTTGCATATGTTAAAATAAGTTAAGTAAAAATATTGGATTATTTTATTTAATTATTGATTTATTTCTATTTTATATATTATTTATATTATATTATTTATTGCAAAATTAGGCTTTATGATCTTTTCACTATATAAGTGTTATGTAAGGTGCACAATTTAACACATTTGTTTATTAAATAATTAAAATATATATGACTTATATGAATAATATGAATATGATATTTCAATATGAATTTCGTTTTTTATTTTTAAAATATTTAAAAATTTAATGTTATTAAATGTATGTAATATACGCAAAAGTGCTAAATTTTAAAATAAAATGAAAATTAGTTGTTAGGATTATGAAGGAATATGAAGGAACATAATCCGAGTTGATAGTTTTTTATGTTTATCTTCGTAAAATAAGTTATGTATACTGGTAGTTTTAAATACTTATGAATATTGCAATTTAATTTTTATTGTTTTATTATATTAAATTATGTTGCAGGGTATTGTATTGTAATTTTTATATCAATAACAAAATAAACAATAAATTTTACTGCAGAGTATGTGTGAAAAAATTTGTTTGCATACAATTCGTTTTATACATAATATATGAAAATAAAAATATATATTTTCATTAAAATATTGATACAACCCTTCATTTACTAAACTCCTAATACAGGTCAAATGTTTATATACAGCAAACGATGCACCATATACCTATATACCTAATTATTTTTCTCTTTCTGCTCTCTCTTACCTATAGCATTACATATGCAATGATTGTGCAGATTGACTCCCATATAAATTTGTAACGGCGAACGCGTGTATAACTTCTATGTATAACTTCTAGTATAACTTCTACCGGCAGTCCCACTGGACTGCCACACCCGTTTTGTTTTCTAATAGGTGACAAAAATTTTAGAATATATACACGTATGGGCAATTTGAAAATTTTGAGGACGATGATGATATTCCAGACACAGTCGATCTTAGATTACAGGGATATGTTTTACCTCCAAGAGATATGGGTGATCTTGACGAACATTGGGCATTTTCAATTGTAAGTATTAATTTAAAATTTGAAAACCCATGATCGCGATTTTGTCTTTATGGCAAATCATAAAAGGTCTTAATGGTTTTGTAAATTTTGCAAAATATTCAAAAATTTCAAAATATTTAAAATTTAATTTAAAAAACATTTCTTCCCTAGCTGCCTATCATTTATGAATTTTAGTCCCGATTAGTCATGTTGGTTAAGATATTCCAATTGGCCGCAGATCTTAGTAGTCATTCCAGCACATTGCCTAAGATTCGTAAGCCATGAGGGTTTTTTTTCTTATGTAGTGTTATTTGGACAAAGCTTCATTTTTTTATCGTTAAAATATTATCAAAATATTTTAAGTTTTTTGAATGGATAATAGGTCTAAACAACCTCCGTACTACATATGTAATGACCACTTACCAATGACATCAGATGAAGTGAAAAGAGAAATATCACAACTAAAAGATGGGAAAGCTCCTGGACCTGACAATCCACGACTAACAAAAATATTCAATGACATATATTTAAACGGATTGATAACATGGTCATGGCTGAAGTCAACGTCTATTTCTCTACCAAACAAAACAAAATCCGTATTCTGCAATGATTTCGGAAGTCAGCTTAATAAGCCGCATTTTAAAGTTATTTCTCAAAATCATACATCAAAGGATATGTCTCTTTAGCATACAAGTGCCAGTTCGATGTAGAGATGTGAATTGCGATATTTATGAATGCATTATTGATTACAATAAAGCGTTCGATACACTAAACATGACAAGCTAATGGAGATATTACCAAAAATGGGAATAAATACCTGTGATCTAAGAACTATTAGCAATCTTTATTGAAATTAAACATTGTGTTTGTATAAAACTTAAGAGGTCGCTGGTTAAATGATACTCAATAAATAATAATGAAGAAAAAATGAAATACTTTGACTGTAAATAAAAGTAGCTAAAATAGCAAATATTTGTAGCAAATATATGTAAAATAAAATGTAATTCAAATAACAATTGAAAGATTTAATAACTTATTGTCAATTCTATAACATGAGATTCACTTACCCTTTGTCTATGGTTGGGTCCCGCTTCGAGTATAAGGTCTCAGGGTATGGGATGAACACGAACACACAGTGCGTTGTCCCGACGAGAGGTTGATGCAGAATGGGGCGATAATAGAAAAAACAAAGACATACGTAGGCGAATCCACTAGGGTTGTACTTATGTTCTTATGACCTCCGGGAATAGCAGTAAATTAAGCTTAAAATGACATTTTAAACTTTCTACTCAAAGGACGGGTACGTTTCCTTAAGAAGTGTTTAGGTTGATAAATGTTTCCCAAAAACATGTTGTTTTTCAGACAAGTGAATTCTCAGAATTTGACAATAATTAATCAGCCAATTTGAGTTCGAGAATTTAAAAGATAAACTATAGCCATATTACAATTAGCTAATATATTATGATTAAAAAGATTTAAAACTAAATAAGGTCATATTCGGAATAAAACAAATAAAATATTTAAATCAATCTTGACACTTTTCCAAACACATCGTCTACCCTTATAGATGCAGGAGAATCCTATGATATCAAAATCAAATAGAGGGGTCCCACAGGATATATACTATCACCCATTTTGTGCCTGAAAAATCTACGTACGTGATTCTACACAACAACCACAAATCTTTTGAGAGCAGCAGTTTGCAAAATACAGATTGCCATGATGGTCCCCAACGTTAGAAACGAATAGGCACTACAAGAAAAAAGGAAAAAACAGAATCGTAGTAATAATCACTAAAGTAAATCACAAATGAAATTAATTGCAATGTGAAGCCGCCCTTACAGAGGTGAAGCGTTGGACGAAGGACATATGTGGCAGAAGGATAAAGATAAAAGATAAAATAAAACAAAGAAAAAGAAATTATAATTATATGTAAAGGATCATTGTTTCTTTTCTGATATCTTTAATTTACTAAAAATGCATTAGTTTTCATTTTAAATTCTTTTTTAAATTTACAGTCTTCGGCAATGGAGATAGAAACCGCATGGCACAATCTTACCTATGAATATTTAAGTCCACAATTTCTAATCGACTGTACTAAAAATTATCAACAGGCTTACAATGAAATGTACTATTATGGAATACCTAGTGAAATTGATTATCCGTTTAAAAATGGAAAAGGGGAATGTAAACCAGTCTGTAAAGGCCGATGTCTTAATGATAACTATCTATCTTATGAATTTTTAATCAAAAGAACCTTAGCACGTAAGTATTGTCATATTCACAAAAGATGTAACATATAATATTATATGTTTACTATATTCTTCTTCCTATGGTGTCTATCTATGTTGAACACTAACATGGCTATTGTGACTTTGTTTACTGCTGAACTGAAAAGTCCGGTAGTGGTTAAGTTAAAACATTTTCGCAGGTTATGCAGCCAGGATATTCTTCTTCGCCCTGGCCCTCTTTTCCGATGCACTTTAGCTTGAAGTATGGTCTGAAGTAGGTTATATCGTTGTTCATTGCACATTATATGGCCCAGGTGTTCCAGTTTGCGACGTTTGAAACTCTGTCTATCCAGGAAATCCTCAACATGTGTCTATAGTACCACATGTCAAATGCTTCGAGTCTCTTTAGTTATGCTTTAGTTAAGGTCCATGACTCCACGCCATATAAAAGAACGGAGAATATGTTGCATTTTAGTAAACGAACTTTTATTTCCAATTTTATATCGTGGCTGTAAGTTTTGTTTTTTCATTTTGACGAAAGCTGATCTTGCCTTCTCGATCCTTATCTTAAGTTCCGTCGATTGGTCCCACGGTTCATTTAAATTTGCACCCAGATGACAAAAGTTTATAGGTTGGTGGTTAACTAGTAATTGACCATGTGGTATCGTATTTTTGCTTAAAACCATGTATATTTTTTATGCCCAAATCTGCTACTTACTTCTGACACCCTAGAGGCAAGTGTCTCCAGACCTTTAAGACTGTCTGCTAAAATGATAGTATCAATAGCGTGTCTTATGTTGTTTAATCGTTCTCCGTCTATAAGTATTCCCTCGTCTATGTCTGTTAGTGCTAGGTTCATAATGTGTTCTAATTAGGATTCTTCAGTCCATCTTTGGACATCATCATCATTGGCTTTTACAACTCTTCGTGAGTTTTTGCCGCGTTTACTATTGCCTTCCATTGATTCCGATCCTGTGCTATTATTTCCCATGGCCTTACTTCCATCTTCTCCAGGTCTTCCCTTACTGCGTCTTTCCACCTTTTTCTAGGCCTTCCTGTCGCTCTTCTACCATCTGGTCTTTCCCAAAACACAATGCTAATCAGTCTGTCGTCATCACTCCGTACCACGTGGCCTGCCCATCTTAATCTATTGGCTTTTATGTATCTTACGATGTTTCCCTTCCCAAAGAGAGTCTCTATTTCATTGTTGTATCTGCTCCTCCATTCATTTGTCACGCTGTCCCTGCAAGGACCATATATAATTCGCAGGATTTGGCGTTCCCATACTAATAGCTTATTGATTTCTTTCTTTCTCAATGTCCATGTTTCACTTCCATGTCACTGCTGGTCGTATTATGGTTTTGTACATTTGGATTTTGGCACGCCTTGAGAGAAGCTTTGACCTCATTAGATGTTAAATGGCAAATAATGATTTATTCCCCGCCAGTATTCGTATTTCAACCTCCCGTTCTCCTGTGTTTTCACTGGTAATTGTTGCTCCTAGGTATTTGAATTCTTTGACCACATCAAAATTATGATCGTTTATGGTAATGTTTTGTCTTATTCGCTGTCGTTCTTTTTTGATACGACCATGTATTTAGTTTTTTCTTCGTTTATTTTCAGGCCTACGCTTAGTGTTGCTTCTTCAAAGTTGGATAATATATCCTTAACTTCCAGTGTTGTCTGTGCTACTGCATCTACATTATCTGCAAATGCGAGAATAATATTTGCTCCTTTGGCAGTTATGTCTGGTTTGACTCTGGTATAGATTTTTCGCATTGCGTATTCCAATGCTAGGTTAAATAGTAATGGGGACAGCGGGTCTCCCTGTCTGAGCCCGGTGCTTATGCCAAAAGCCTTTGAAGGCCTTTGAGGCCTTTTTGCCTCCTATTCTAATTTGTGCAAAGGAATTGTTGACACACATTCGCGCAATCATGGTCATAGGCCTTCCCAATCCATATCCTTTTCCATTCTTCTCTGTCTGTCGCTACAGTCATCCACCTAGAGTCCACTTGCTTGTTGATATTATCTGCCTATCTCATTTGGAGCCTTCCTCTGCCTTGTTTATATTCCCACGGTCTCCAACTTATAAGAATTTTGTTCCATCGGTCTTCTTTTTGTCTTATATTGTGTCTGACAAATCTCCATTTTAATTTTGCAACTTCTTGTCTAACATCCCACACTTTTATGTTCTCTCTTATTCACTTGTTTCACTTTTTATCCATTAGTTTTATGTGCAACATTTGTCTTTCATTGCTCTTTGGGTCTTTATGATTTTATCCATGCTTACCCCATGATCTAGTTGAGGGTAAACGAGTACTGCAACAGTTATAGATGATCAGTTTTTTGTTTCTAATACTTTAAGAAACCGGTTTCCTGTTAAAATCGTCTGCAGGAAGTGAGAAATGCAAATATAAGTGAACTTTGATCAAATAAAATGCAGATATCGAGCACAGTTTTATTAATTAAATCTTGCCAAGTACTTGCGCTTCCTAGAGTATCTTCAGGGGCATCTGAAATAAGCCAAGAAACGTTATTTTAACTGAAGAAATTAATTAACTTCGATAAAAACTCGACGTTGATAGATCATGAACTCCAACAAGAATAAAATGTTGTAAACATAAAATTATACATCGCACTACACTACACAAGGACAAATACTTTAAAATTTTTAAAATAGGCGAAGCTATATTATGTTCGGAAACCGGAGACAGAATGGCTCCCGGTCTTAACGAAAATGTTGAGGTGACATGTGACATATATGACAGCTTGGATGGGTAGTCACAATCATGGATGTGTGATCTGCACATTTCAAAATTCTATGAAACTAAGCATTGACGAAAGATCCAACTGACACTACTATAGGAAATCAACTGATGAAATATAAAATTATATAGAATATTTTAAGTAGATTGCATAATCCAGATCTCACACTCAAACCTGTCTTTAATAATTAGGGTGTTAGTTTAAAAGCAACTGAAGTCGACGAAAAGTATGAATGCAAGAAATAGACTAAACAATATATTAGACAGTGCGTGGTTGACTACAATAAAAGGGTCTACCAAGCAATATCAATACTGTAGAAAAGAAGAAATCTGACTATGTAATTAAAATACTAAAATTTAAAAATCAAAATTGAAAGCAAAGTATATAAATGGGGTATAATCCAAGCAGTTCAGTTGAACCCACAGTCAATGGGAGAACTGTAAAATTAATATGTCAAAGCATTACTCAAGACCAACTGACCAACAGTGGGAGATGTTGAAATATACAACTGTGGATATGGTATATCTAAATTACGAAGAGATTCAGAGAGTGTAAATAACGCCAACTATAGATCAATTGAACCTGAACAAGCTAGTTGTGTAAATTATTAAAGAATAAAATAGTAATGTTGATCAAAGTATGAAATTAATAAATTCTTAATGGGTATACTCTATAATGCAGGAAATCTAAACAGCCGAGCTGTGTAAGCTGCCTTGTAAACATAAGTGACTAAATAGATCAAATTGGAAGAGGTTATTTCAGTCTGCATCCACATTCCTGTGAGCATAGAATTTTCTGATTTAGTTATGCGCTAAAACATTTAGCTTGTATTCAACTAATAAGTTATTCTGACAGTTAATATAAACAAATATATACGATTCCTTATATTTTTAAGTAATTTGTTTTTCAGTGCTTGGTCCCGTAACTATATATTTTGATGGAGGCGATCTGCCATTTTATAAACAAGGAATAATTGATGGTTCGAACTGCCCACGCAGCTTTATACCAGATCCTTCAACGTGGAGAAAACCTTGGAGTGCTGTTATCATAGGTTACGGCAATGACGGTATTAACGGTAGTGGAACTGATTACTGGATTTTAAGAAATTCTTGGGGCGATTCTTGGGGGGAAGAGGGATATTTTAGGTTAATCAGAGGAAAAGAGGCTTGCGGCATGATGCGGTTACCTATATGGCCTTCACTTCAGGAGCCAAACGGGATTTGCATTTAACATTTATAAACATATACCTAACAGGTTCAAATAAAATTTGTCTTTCTACTTTTGAGTATGAACTGCAAGACTCTAAAAGAATCTCCTAATGTCCACCATAATTCACAATTCTGCTGTACCTCAGAATAAGCAAGACAAAAAGTCCAGTTTGAAGCAAAACGGGGGTTATCAATGAAAATGATTGAGAAACAAGCCCTGTTTCATATGATACTAAGAATAATGTCTTATCTGTAATAATACCAGGAATAGCTCATTTTATCTTCTGCTAGAACATGAATTCAAATTTAATAGTACTATTATTTAGTTTCGTATTATTAATAATGACGTGAAGTTTTGAACCACATTTCCCTAGTATGACAGAGCAAACTAACGCAAAGCAGTCTCTAGGCCGGGTTTATTGACCACGTGATCTAAATGACCAATGCCCAAGGTCACGTGGTCGATACATCAGCCATTATAATAATATGGGTATACTGCTTGTAGGCCAGTTTTCTCTGTCGAACTGGGAAAACGGGTCTGTATTGCAACGTATAGTCTATTTGTATTATATTAGACATCTTTTTCCAAAGCAACCAATCTCCACCCTGGCAAAATTGCCGTAAGTTGTATTTTTTTACCTTGAATATATTTGTAAAACCTGGAGTCGCAAAATTCGTTATCCATAATCTTTGATCGCTCAAAATTAGTTTTGCGTTGGTAGTTTCTTGATTTCTATTAAAATACTCTTATAACTAAAGAACAATATTTGGAGATTGGATACTTTGCAACTAACTATAGTGTATTTTTATGTATGAGAGAGTAATAAAACAATAAATTATGTATGCAAATCCCTAAACTGTTGATACGGTGACTCAATGAAAAACAGATATTTGTCAACAAGTTTACAGAAGTATATAGGAAAACAATTTTAAATTGAGTATGACCACCAGGTATAAAGGTTGGAGCAGAATAGAATACAATAGTTGTGAGGGTTACTAATCCCTAAATAAGGTTGCCAGTGTCGGAGTGATGGAGGTTAACAGGTACTAATGAATTTGCAAGAAATGTAAGATGTTTATGTTATTGGTTATATATAACCAATAAAAGTTTAATAAGTACCTACCTATTTGCAAAATAAAGTTTTAATTCTTTAGATAAAATAAAACGTTTTATTTTATCTGAAATGAGTGCATTCCACGAAGTAAGGGTTTCAACAATCAAACATTTAATTCTTTAATTCCAGGAATCTACGACAGTAATTGACTAGATAATTACCTTCTAAACTTATTCCACAGAAAATGTGATAGTGGGTTTTTCCATTTTGTAGGAAGGTCCAAGTGGCGTATTCAAAATTCTTAACAGTTCACTAAAAGTAGGTACTTCAGTTGCAAGGTGCAGTTTATTGTGTATACTAGTGTTATGGAAAATTTGGAAGTGCCGTGTAAACGCCGAAAAATTGGTCCTTTAACAGTTAATGAAAAAACATTAATATTTAATTGTTTTAAATCATTTACAGACAAACCTGTATGTGAAAGTGTTGATGAGACCGTTGAGTTAGTTAGCAGTACACTTGGTGTTGGTAAATCTACGATTTACCGAGTTATTAAAGAAGAGAAATGTGGTAGTTTTTAAATGAAACGTAATGCTCCAGGGAAACCAAAATTTCAAATAGAATATCATTTTAAAGAAGGACTTCGACGGAAAGTGCATGGATTCTTCTTTAGACAAGAATTTCCAACATTGGATAAAGTTCTTGTCTCAGTTTGAGATGATAAGGATTACCCAGAAATGAGTCGAAGTACGTTATGGAAACTTTTAAAGAAATAGGCTTCCGCTGGAAAAATAATCCCAGAAAGTCTATTTTATTAGAAAAAAGCGATATTGTCATATGGAGAAGACATTTTCTAAGAACCATAAAGGAAATGAGAAACCAAAAAAGAAAAATATTTTATCTTGATGAAACATGGATCAACGAGGGTCATACACCAAATAAATTTTGGCAGGATGAAACTGTTACAAGTCAAAGGCACGCTTTTGTAAATAACTTATCTACTGGTTTAAACCCACCATCAGGAAAGGGACGCAGGCTAATAATAGTACACATTGGCAGTTCAGACAGTTTTGTTGAAGGTGGTTTATTAACTTTTGAATCAACTCGTACCGGTGACTACCATCATGACATGAACGCTGATGTCTTTCAAGAATGGTTCGAACAAATGATAGATCTTCTTCCTAAGAACAGTGTAATAGTAATGGATAATGCAAGTTATCACTCCAGACTTATAGAAGGACTGCCCACAACCAAGTGGTTAAAAAAAGACTTGCAGAATTGGCTGAGTTCAAAAAATATTACGTACCATCCCGGATCTATAAGAAAGGAACTTTATTCGTTGTGTGCCCTTCATAAAGAAAAATTTAAAAATTACGAAATTGATGAAATTGCCAAAAATCGTGGAATGACAGTACTTAGATCCCCACCATATCATTGTGAATTAAACCCGATTGAACTGGTATGGGCACAGATAAAGAGTGAAGTTTCAAGAAAAAATACCACTTTTAAAATTCATGATGTTAAACAGTTGTTTTTGGAGGCCGTAAATAATGTAAAACCTGAAAACTGGGAAAAGGCAGTAAATCACAGTATTAAAGAAGAGGAAAAAATGTGGAAGCTGGACAATATTACTGATAAAATGATCGAGCCAGTTATTATAAATCTTGGTTCTGAAAGTTCATCTTCTGAATCTGATTTGGATTTGTAACAAGTAGTTGTAAGTTTTATATTAATATTTTTATTCATCTATTTAACATACCTTAGACGGTTTTAAAAACTCTTTCTCTTTTGTAATTTTTAAAAATTAAAAAAAAAATGTGAATTTTTTAAAACCCTTTTTAATGTAGGCCAGTCAGTTCTAATATCATCATCATCATCAGTGGTGCTACAGCTCTAGTTGAGCCTTGACCTTCCCCAGTCTATTTCGCCAGTCGTTTCTGTTCATCGCCAACCGTTGCCAATTTGCCGCGCCGATCTTCCTTGCGTCCAGTTCTAATATAGTGTGTGATAAAAGAGGTCACTTTTGTTTACATACACATAACACTTTATAGTTCACTATATATTCAAAGTAATTTTTCAATTAATCTTGACCACGCCCATGGAGTGGTCGGAGGTACCAGTTAAAATTATGCTAATTACTCTCTCGTTCATAAAAATAAACTATAGTGGATATTGGCTATTTGAAATAAACAGACCAGGAGATTGTTTATTTTGTAGTAAAAACACAAATGTTTCATAACAGTACTTAATACATTAAAATAATTATTACTATCAAAATTCTATAAGACTTCTTCGTCGTTGTCATTATCGAGTGGTTTGCAATAAACAGTTTCAGATTATTTTTCCATTCTTTGCCGTAGTGACTTTCTACAAGCTTCCTTACGACAATTTCAATTTTGTTTCAATTTTTTTTGCTAATGTTGGATAAGTTCCTGACTTCTATTTCATTTGGATTGATGTTAATGGTCGATCTTTCTTTTTTTTAAATACTTCTAAACAAACCAAAGTGCCAACTCTGCAGTGCTTTGAATATAGACAGTGCTTCGGTTTTCCAATCTTAGAACTTGAAATCCATATTGGGGCGCGGCGAAGTTATAAGTTCAGATATTATTTTAAAATAGTCCTCAGGTGTCAGATCATCTTGCATTTTTTTTGCCTTTTTCTCAATTGTCCCAAACACCCTGTCCAACAGCAAGAATGAATGCTCTCAAACGGAATACACCATTTCAATATATTTTATGTTTCTTGGAGCTTGTATCAGCCATAATCTTACCACACTGATATCTTTTAAATCAGTATTAGACAGCCAGAGTTGCCCAAGCCACTTAATTAGAGCCCTTGCCATACTCAGCCTCTGACCATACATAGCTAAAACAATTTTTCTTCGTTAATGGTGTAGCGTTTTATATTTAATGTCTAAATAATAATATAAATTCGATTCTATATAGTACGCCCCTGGTACGCTAGAAATGTGTTGTCTGTAGAGATTTTTAAATACGCAATAATTCTTCAATAAATAAAAACGTATTTGCTAAAGAGAACAATTTATGGCTTTTTAACTTCAACGTTCCAGAAAACTATTGCAATCTTGGTATTATTTTTTCTAAAGCGCAGTAACGCCGGATGTTTTGAACGAATTGAGTAAAGAATTTGTTGATTTGACAAGATGGCAATGGTTTTGTGCGGGGAAAAGAGGGGTTACTATCCGGAGATTGAGATCGAGAGGGTCAGCGAAGTCAGTGATGAATAATTGCTCGCAGCGAAAGGTCGTTTTAATGGTGATTTGGTAAGCCGGCATTCATTCGCCAAAATGGTGGAATTTTCATTCTAAGTAATATGTCGTTTCTGAAAGAGTGACCAGTAACCACTGTTTTTATTTTGGCTGAAGATTTATGATGTTTGAGCAGTGAACAAGTTTAGTTCCTGTTTTGTTTTTCGTTTTTTGAGAAATCCAGTTCTTTCCGAGATGCCCTTTTCACCTCATGTAGAATAATATTGGAGCAGTTTTGATTTGGATGTGCCAGTTTCAGCTTCCAATAAAGCTTTCTGTTGATGTGCAGTTGGATACCCCGCAGAAGTTAGCCAGTTGTTCAAAAATTTAAGTTAACATGTGTGAACTGAGGTAACATTTACGTTATTAATTTTTAAAGTAAAATAGACATTTTCTTTTAAAAGACAAAATTTGCTTTCTTTTATAAATTATTTAAAAAAAAATATATTTGTAATTATATTATGTTAGGGCCTGGTTTAAACTGTCATGTCATAATTTTATCCTGTTTTAAAAATGTTTGTTTTGACGTATGACAGTTTGATTTTGAATCTATTTTGATTTGTAGTAAAGATTAAATTTTATTCTTTATAAAAGGATATCCATAAAATTTGGCCACATTATCTACTAGGAACCATTTCAGAGAATTTTGTAACCTTTTGTAAACAGATATGTAAGTTCTTTTTATTTGTATTGGACAGC